CTCTCTCTTTCTCTCTCTCTCTCTCTCTCTCTCTCTCTCTCTCTTATACTGTACATTGTCATTTGTAATATCATGATCCCTAAATTCACTTTTAGTATTTAAAATTGATATAGCTTCAATGTTTTTTTTTTATTAAAGGGGTCATATGATGCGATTTCATTTTTTCCTTTCTCTTTGGAACTTTAAACCGCATAAACACATTTCATTACACCAAATACACAAAATAATGTTCTTTTTAGCAGCATCATATGACCCCTTTAATTAATCTAATTTTTATTTAGACAAAAGCATAGAATTTCAATATTGGCTATTTATCAGTTATTGGCTATAACAAAAACAAACAAACAAACAAAAAATATGCTTATTTGTCCTAATTTTACTAACTTTACTTACTATACTTATCTGCCCTAATTTTAATATTGGTGCATTCCAAAAAATAACCAGTATCAATTTTTTTTACTATCATTTTCACTCTTTTTTTTTTTTTGGGCTTTTGAGTAAATAATCTGTAAATAAGGTAATTAATTTTGTGCACATTTCATTTGCTGTCACTTTATGCACATATTGGCATTTTATCTGCCTTCTGCATGCTTTCTAGATATTGGCGATATTGGCTTTACAATATAATTGTCTGCAGGTACGGCATCTGTTAGACACCGGAGAAACCAGGGATTTGCGGGTCGACATGGAGAATGTGGTCAACTCATCAACTCCTAAACTCAAAAGAAATGGTTGGTAGATTTAGTATCGCATTATTATTATACATCAGCTGTGGATACATTAATTTTCCATATATTTATTTAGTCTTTCCATACATTGTATAGTCTCAAATGTAAATGTGTATAATTTGATTTATTTTCATCCTAGAAATTCTGCTTGAGAAGCAATTGCAAGGTAATTTTGTGGGCGACTCTAATCCGAATGCATGATGTTCTACAGGCTTCTACGTTTCAACAAGCTTTGTGCAGATTGTTATATGAGAAGAGTAACTGACATGGAATGGAAAGTTGTCTTTGAGCGCTTTAGAATTAAATGCAACTATGCACTAACAAATATTTGTGGATTTTCACAAACTGAGAACTATTATCAATGCCGTCGGTGTCTTGAATGTTTCATAATCTCTCAAAAAGGAATGAAATGCACCATGAAAGTTCTTTCAAGACGCTGCTCTGATCATGTGACTAACTCCGATCCGATTGGATGTTGGCGCATTCCATTACTGAATATGCACATTCTTGCTTAGGCACCACTTGACTTTGCTTTCCCCCATCAGAGTCCATCGTGCGCTCCAGTAAGCTGCTGAACTGGTGTCAAAGACAGACGGAGGGATACAGAGGTGTCAGCGTGTCTGATCTCACCATGTCCTGGAAGAGCGGCTTGGCCCTGTGTGCGCTCATCCACCGATACAGACCAGACCTCATGTAAGTGCAGTATGCCACATGCTGATCCCAACAAAAGCTCTGTGTTATTTGCGCTGCTATATTTAGAGATGCAGGACTGGAGCACAAACGCTGCCGCAGAGAATCAGAGATTCACCTTTTAGAGAGTTTTTAGATTTTGGTGTATGATTATGAGCTTTGGACTAGAATCATAAAAGATGCACTCTGTACTGTAGTTTTTTCCATCATTAAAAAGGTTTTAGACAAAAATAAATGTATAATTTATAATACCTTGTGACAGATATGTTTAAAATGATGTATACTTATACCTTAGCCATCTTCAAGAATCGGCTAAAAGCACATCTCTTCCATCTTTATTTGACCCTCTAACTCTAGCATTCTCTAGTCTAATTCTATTCTTAAAGGGGTCATATGATGCGATTTCAATTTTTCCTTTCTCTTTGAAGTGTTACAAACTCTTGGTGCATAAAGAAGATCTGTAAAGTTGCAAAGACTAAAGTCTCAAATCCAAAGAGATATTCTTTATAAAAGTTAAGAGTCAACCACGCCTACCTAAAACGGCTCGTTCTAACACGCCCCCACATACCTACGTCAC